CCTTGGTCGAGCAGTATGGCGACGGCCGTCCCGGTCCTTCTGGCCAAGGCCTGCGCGCTAGAGGCTTCGATATCGACAGCAAGGTGCAGGTTTTTGAGACCGTCATCCGTGGTGTTGGCGGTCTTCTCAGTGCCCATTTGTTTGCTGTTGGCGCACTACCGATTAATGGTTATGAACCGCTTGGTCCTGAACATGATCCACTAAGCCCTCCGCCTATCCACTGGCCTAATGGCTTGACCTACGATGGCCAGCTGCTTCGTTTGGCGCTTGATCTTGGGACCAGGATTCTCCCGGCCTTTTACACGAAGACGGGAATGCCCTATCCGCGTGTCAATTTGCGCCATGGTATCCCCTTTTACAAGAACTCGCCCTTGCATGGGACGTTTTCCGGGGACCACATAGTTGATGGGCCTCCTGAGATTACCGAGACATGCAGTGCTGGTGCCGGGTCCCTTGTTCTTGAATTCACGGTCCTCAGTCGCTTGACAGGTGATCCGCGGTTTGAACAGCTGGCCAAGCGAGCCTTTTGGGCAGTTTGGTATAGGAAGAGCCACATAGGCCTCCTCGGCGCAGGCGTCGATGCTGAACAAGGCCATTGGGTAGGCCCTTATTCCGTCGTTGGTGCTGGCGCCGACAGCTTTTTCGAGTACGCCCTCAAGTCGTACATTTTGCTTTCTGGGCACGAGCTTCCAAACCGGACAGCCGTTGAGCCGAAACCCAAGGACAACTGGCTGGACCCCAATACTCTCTTTGTTCCACTTACTGATGTTGAGAACTCCCCTGATGCGTTTCTTCAGGCGTGGCATCATGCTCATGCTGCTATTAAGCGCCATCTTTACAGCGATAGAGATCATCCGCATTATGAAAACGTCAATCTATGGACAGGCTCGCTGGCTACTAACTGGGTAGACAGCCTAGGTGCCTTCTACGCCGGCCTGCTCGTCCTGGCTGGTGAGCTGGAAGAAGCCATTGAAACGAGCTTGTTGTACACTGCCATATGGGCGCGCTATGCCGCGCTTCCTGAACGTTGGTCTATTACACATAAGGATATTGAGGGCGGTCTAGGCTGGTGGCCGTTGCGACCCGAGTTTATCGAGTCGACCTACTACATATATCAAGCCACCAAGGACCCCTGGTATCTTTACGTTGGCGAAATGGTCATGAGAGACATTCAGAGGCGATGTACTACGCAGTGTGGCTGGGCAGGCCTTCAAAATGTGTTGACCGGCGAGAGGAGTGATCGTATGGAAAGCTTTTTCCTCGGCGAAACCACGCAGTACCTGTATCTGCTGTTTGATGAGTCGCATCCCCTCAACCACCTTGATGCCGGCTTTGTGTTTACCACAGAAGGTCATCCGCTAGTTTTGCCAAAGGCAAAGCCAAGGACCCGATCAAGAGCATCTGGTCAAAAGGAATTGATAGTGTATCACGACCCTGGCTTTACCAACACTTGCCCGGCACCGCCTTCTGTCACTCCCCTCACAGGCTCAGCCATCGCTGCCAGAGATGACATCTATCACGCTGCAAAGATGTTGGACCTACACTTGTTGCAGCCAAAGAACTTTTTAGGACTTCCGGCAGAGGGTAGTAAGCCCTCGGGCCAACATACCTCTTCTAGGAAGCCTATAACCGAATCGGACCAGTTCACGCCTTTCCCCTGGTCTCTTCCACCAGAAATGGTTCCCCAAAACGGAACGTGCCGCAAAATCAACCAGCCGGTCGAGATGCTGCTCGAGTTCTCCTCCAACGCGCAAGAACTCATTGGCGGCAGCGCCTTCAACTACCTGATGGGCACGCAGAACCTCGAGCGCCTCACGATGGATCGAATCCGCGTTCAAACCCTTTCCGGCTTGAGGCTGACCATGCGGCAGGAGGAGGACTCGGACGGTGAATGGCGCGTCAGCAAGGTGAATGGCGTCCTTCTTGGTCGGGATGAGTTCATCGTTATGAACCGAGCCATCCTAGGCGAGGTGTCCGACCCGCGCTTCAACCTCGTTCGCGACCCCGTCAACGTCAAGCTCGTGCATCTACATTATGTGGACCTAGGCCAGGACGAGACCCACAAGGACAAGGCCAAGGGGCAGCTTCACCCCGAAAGCGTCAAGACTGATCCTGAGGTTTCCCAAGAGGAGCAGGAGAAGGAGATCGAAGAACAACAGACAGAAACAGCCAACACCACCTCGGAAGACCCCGCCTCCTCCTCCCTCGGCTCCTACGTCAAATCCCTCCTCGCCAACCTCGCCGCCTCCCTCGACGACCTGCTCGACGGCATCCCCCTCGAAGCAGCCGTCACCGCTCTACCCTCCATCCTCCCCTCCATCCCCTCCATCTCATCCATCCATGGCGGCAGCACCAAACGCATCAAATACCCTCTCAACGTCTTCATAAACTCCACCGCCGTAACCGCCACAGGCATCGGTGCCGCCCCTCTCCCTCCTCCTCCCCCTCGCCCCTCATCTCCATACATCTCCAGCGGAAACAACCTTGCTCATCCGAGACCCTACCCACCCTTCGGCCCCGTCCCCCGCGACATGATACCCTACACCACCATCTATGCCGCCGGCCAGCTTTGTACCTCGTCCTCGTCCGGTTCTTCCGAGCCTTCTTCTGAAAAGGACCAGTCTCCTCCGCCTCCACTACTAGACGACTCCATCCCGCGCACCCACCAGATTCTCCTCCTCCGCCGCGGCGGCTGTTCCTTTTCCGAGAAACTAGCCAACATCCCCGCCTTCCCTCCCTCTCCCACCTCGCTACAACTCGTGATTGTCGTTTCCGACGGCCAAGACGAAGATGCTTCGTACGCTGCTTACTACTCTGGTCAAACCTACAGCAGCAGCCAAGGAGTTGGAGGAGGGGGGTTAGCTAGGCCCTTGTTGGATCAGGTACAAAAGACTCCTGGCGGACTGGTGAGAAGGAACCCGATTCCGATGATCATGGTTGGGGGTGGAGAGATGACGTATGAAACCCTCAAAAGGGCCAAGGGCGTGGCGGTGGGGAGGAGGTGGTTTCTGGAAAGTCAGGGGCGGAGAGTGAGGAATGTGATTGTGGATGAGGGGGATGCTGGGGGGGTTGCTTGATTTGATTTTTGCCGAGAAGAGCTAAGAAAGAAAGGTAGAGAGAGAGAGAAGGGGAGCGTCGGGTTTGGGTTGACTTGGGATTTATAGCAAGCGAGCTGAAGGGGTTGATGATTACTTGGCGAGGCAGATTGTTTGCATATACAGCGTTGTAGCAGAGCATGTTGAAAATGGGGTGGTTTTGAGAGAAGGGCGAGTATATAGACTATTACAGCATTTTGTTTGGTTATTCTTATTTTTTATTATTTTTCTATTCATTTCATTGGCTGTAACTTTCCCATGTGGTGGCATGTTTTCTGTACATAGGGCATCGAGTTGGCCTACTTTGACAACAATTGCTTCAATTTCAATCAGTGCTTTCCAATCAGCATAACTTGTGTGCAGTTTGCGCCGATATCGTCAGCCGAGAAAACATTCTTTCACGATGCCTCGCCTTCGATCTCCCTTCTCATGCCTTTTTTGTTGCTTTTCTTCTCCTTTTGACATGCGGAGGGCCCATCAAGACCAGACCAAACCCACGAACCCATTCATATGGTCGACGCGCGGATCAACATCGGACTATATATATATACCTAAAACCTCGAACGGAGTACGGATGAAAAGCAGGGTGTATACAGCATATGGCAGGCATATCACAGTATGCACACGCCCCTTGTGCGTAGGTACTTAATGCGTACGACGCCCTCCAGCTCCAATGGGGATTGGGAGGACGGATGCAGGTACACTTTTGCGCGTCTATGTACATGAATGGTTCTGCAGTCTGGACCGGGAACCCCCTTCCTTTTCTTGGGCAAAGTTCGTAGTCGTAGACTTGTAGTGTTCGGCGATAGCCGTTCGAGCGATTCACGCTCCGTCCTGCCTAGAGGCAGTTAGTTGTTGGGCACAGCTGCACGGCACCAATTGCCAATGCGGTAGAAAAACATGGTATCTCTGCTGTTTCTTGCAACGCCGATGACCTGCAGTTGGGGATTGATAGCCACTTCGACATTTTGTTGATAATCGGAATTAACCAATCGGATGATCCCAAGTGTTGCTATGACGACGAGCGATTGGTGTAGCAAAAACGATTTTGGGAATCTTTGGTTTTGTTGAGGGCGATATAGAGCTGTCACCGCACAAAGTCGTCGTAAATGGCGACACCGCAGTCATAGCCTCAAAGAAGAGGAACCAAAAAAACCGCTGTTGTACTGCTGTAACTGCTCACCGTCCTTGTTGCGGTGTTCCTGCATTGGCTTCCTGTAGACATGTCACAGTGAGAATGTTGCGATAAGCTTTGCGTGTTTCAGACATTCGGGTATGATGTGGCTCTTAGCACAGAAACAAGTAGCAAGACGATCATGCTTCGTACTAGCGAACGAAAAGGCCTAGGCAATGGCAGATGATCTTTGCAATGCTGCAATAGTTTCACCCTCACTTTCTCGACGTGAAGTTAACGGTCTATCATGCACCCACAAAAAAAAAGACAAATGGTTTTACTCAATGGCATCCTCCTCTCTCACGGCCGAAGGTTGGCTTTTAACCATTGATACCTTCCATTGAACCCCGCTTTTTTGTAACGCACCCGAACGCCAGGTAAATGCAGAACCAAAGTCCCCAATCCTTCGTGTCCCAACTTTTGTTTGACTGGCATCTGAGAGCAGAACTCAATCGTATCTCTCCGTTGGCTTGCCGACGCCCCAGTGTTCCGTTCTTGTTTAAATTGCGACCGTCGGGTCCGTAACGTTCTGGCTTCTTCCCCGTTTGGATCCAAATCGTGTGTTGAAAGGGCGTATATCGATAGCGAGAATTGCGAAGGGAGTCGTAGATCCTAAGCGGCCGATGTTTGCCTGATGTATAAGGCCGGCGGTATAAGACATTGGGTATAACGGTAGTGTAAATTCTGGACGTAAATGCAAGTCGTGATAAATCCGATATGGTTTTTTGAGTCTACTCGTCGGTCTCGAGAAGAGTGGTGACGGGAACACCGCCGAGCTTCTCACGACCCTTGAGGAAAGCAATCTCAAGGATGAAGAGATAACCGATCGTCTCACCACCGAGCTTCTTGACGAGCTCGCCAGCGGCAGCAGCAGAGCCACCTGTAAAAATTAATGTGAGCCAGATTGATCTGCAAGATTGCCAATGGGGCGAGGCCAGGATCCAGCGTATCACTGAGATGAGATTTGGCGTGATAGAGCAAATAGATGGGACATCACGAAGCGATTGCCAAGAAAGAAAAAGTGGGCGCATAATGCTTACCAGTAGCAATGATATCGTCAACGATAAGAACCTTCTGGCCGGGCTTGATGGCGCCATCCTGCATCTGGAAGAAGTCGGTGCCGTACTCCTTCTCGTAGGCGGCAGTGACGCAGGGACCGGGCATCTTGCCCTGCTTGCGGACGGGGACGAAGCTAGCGCCCATTCTCAAGGCAAGAGAGGGGCCGAAAAGGAAGCCGCGGGCATCGAGACCGACAATGACATCGGGCTTCTGGTGGGAGAGCTCGATCTGGAGCTGGAGAGCGACGAGGAGAGCCTCGTGGGTGTTGACGTCCTGGAAGAGAGGGAGGATATCGATAAAGTTGATGCCGGGGATGGGGAAGTCGGGGAACGACCTCAAGGCGGCCATCAGCTTTACCTTTGTACTGGCGAGTTCGGCGGCGGCGGCGGGGGAGGAGGAGGACTCGCGTCCCGCGGCATCTTGGCTGACGGTGGATTGCGTGTTGGCGGTGTTGTCCTGGGTCGAGGTAACAAAGTCTGCCACTTGGGGGGCAGATTCGGCGTTGGCGCTCATGATGAGAGAGAGAAGAGAGAAAAGAGGGGAAAGAGGTTCTGGACGGCTCGCGCCTATCTATGTGGGATATAAAGGAGGGCTGGCTAAAGCAACCTAAGCGTTCGGTTGGTGTCAGACAATGACTTCTCCTAATGGCAGCCTGCGCCGCTGCGGTGACAGGCCACCTAGATTCCGGCCGCGGGAAAGGACCGAAGTGTTGGGGGGAGGGGTGAAGCTCAAGGGTGTATGTAAGGAGTGATAAATGATAGGGCGGGCTGCAGACGCGAGCCGGGGACGAGACGAGGGGTGTTCATCTTGGTGGGTGCCGATGCGTGCTGGGTATGCGTGCTGCTGTGGGTGTGAATAGAATGGACGGGATAGTCTAGACCTACCTAGGGGACTCGGAACTGCTGTGAGCGGACTGTACGTTCAAGATTCACAAGAATGGCGAGCGGTGTAAAGAAGGGAAAAGAGAGAGAGAGAGAAAAAAAAAGGGACACGGCGGGGAAGCGAAGGGGATCCAATTATCGACCAGGAGAACAAGCGGGCGCAAATCGCAAACACGCACGACGGCGACCTCAGTGAAAAAAAAAAAACAGAGATGCTAAAATGGGCGGGTCCGGTGGTAGCCGGAAAGAGGTGAATGGAGCCGCGGCACCGTCCGGGGCCCGTCGTAGAGTGGAGTCGGTGAGACCCTCAATGTTCGTCTGAATGGCTGATACATATCGCAGTGTCGCCCAACGGTCACCGGCATCAGCCATAGAGGGACACTGCTATCACGGAGCTGTACCATCGAGACGTTGTAAAACCGGCAGCGTAACAGCTTGATGAACCATGGCGAGAGATAGCCGAACGTACCTGGCATTGGACATACTGGAGGTGGATTTACCCCTTGGATGTGTTGCGCAGTGTCGAGGTTCTGGACCCTGATGGAGACGAGTTCATCATCTTATCAAGGTCGGCCGGTGTTGACGTGCCGCCCAATCGCGGGCGTATAGCGGGCCAACAACAAATGGTTTTTCAGCACATGGAATCAAGAGGTGATTCGAAATATGACGAGTAGACTGCCAAAAAGGAACAGGCAGGCTGGGTGTAACGGATTGTGATGGAGTGTGTTTGTGAGCTCGATGAGGTGCGTGCGTGAGAACTGATGGAAGAGAGGGGCTGCCCTGAGTCCATGTAACCAGCGAGGGGCTTTGGCCGATTGGGGGACCTTGCTCGCTGAAAAGGTGGGGTAAAGGTGCGGATACCTCTATTCGGGGGGGCCAAGAAAACTAAAAAGTTCAACCCCATCTGCCTACTGCTGTACGCACGTGCTTTTCGTTGTTGACAAGGAAGCCAGATTCCCATCCGCGCTCCTTTCTGAATATGCGTCAAAGAAGAAGACTGAATACACTCACCTCAAGTGCGACTCACGAATCAAGGAAATTTAAGAGCAACTAGCAGCAGGTATCCATCCGCTCAAGCAGGATTAGAGGCTATTCGGGTTTTCACCTCTCGAGATTCCCGTCATTATCCGCGCAATCACACCAAGGTACTACGTACGGTGGTACAGTAGGCTACTGCAAAGTGTAATCTTGGGCTGAAAACGCGGCATGCACTGCATCACGTACCATCCCTGTACAGCACAGCAGCTGCATGGCAACGAGCCCTCCCCGTACTGGTCTGCAACGACGGCAACGCCTTCTTTTCTCCATTCATGAATCACATCACCTTCTCAATATCGTGCGGCATCCTATGGACGACCAGATGCCCCAACATCGCCCTCTCACTGGACTATTAGAGTCATGTTGTGGCTGCGGGGGGAGAACCTCCAAGGCGTCTCCCTACTTTACCTTTACACTTGTCAACTCGTCCCCTCCTGATCCTCAAACCCCCCACCGGCCGGTTTTTTCTTTACTCATTTGGATTGATTGATAACACACCACACACAAATGCTCCCGTAGCCGCGTTGTATTGGTAGTCACACAGTCTCGAGTGACCGTGCTATCTCCATTGGCCAACATAATTAACAAGTTCTCATGCAGGACGATGCAAAAAGAAACGAGCACGGGAGATGACGATGGGGAATTCTCGCCAACATCTGCGACACATGCTCGGCATTCTTCTGCTCGACACTAGCTAGTGTACGTATGGATACGGACATGGCGCTCTTTTACCTAAGCGGGGCCCAGATTTCTAGAAGGCCGGTAACCCCAGGACTCCTGCCGGCAACCCCTGATTAGCCTGCGGGATGAGCGATACCCGACCCAGCAAAAACATCCTGACCGCCACACGTTCACCTCCTCATGGCCTTTCGATCCACGCCGTCACCCCTTGAGGCGGTCCCTCTTCGAGATCCACGCCGAGGTAACTCTACTCACTTCCATCCGAACCAAGTCCCTTTCCCTAGGGACTCCCCGAGCGAGCCATATTCTTCATGACTAGACATGGTTATCCTTACGCCGCCATTCCGGAACCGAACACTAGTGAACTCGCTCAGTCCGGCGACGCCGTACCCATGTGCCCGAATGCCGGGTTCTGGTATTGCAGTTCAAGGGGAATGGGTACACGTGTAAAGACCTTCAGTCATAAGGCTTGGCGGAACATCATCACGCCGACAGCACATCCTTCGTAACCCATGGCTATACTGGTAAGTCTGTCCTCGCCTTCTCTAAAGGTAAGTGATCTATTGACTTCAGTATGTTTGATGCTCCGATCCACAGCGAAACATGGCTTGTCTTCCTCAGCCACCAGAAGCTGTTCCGTGTTGACAATCCTAAGCTGTGTCTGCCACTTAGGTAGCTCTGACTGACCAACAGATATACCGTGATTGCAACATCCTCTCCAATCACCCAGTGAGAGTCGTGCAAGATTCTCGCACTGCTTCCCCTGACACTAGTTGGGTATCATCATCAAGCCGATAGAGGCTGTGAGTTATAACTGCCATCTGTCTTCCGGATAACATCCACTGCCTACCGGGAATACCTACCCAAAAAGCTCACTCACACATCTTCAGCTTTGTGGCTGGCATCGTCCAAGAAAAACAGTGGTTGCAATTTCAAAAGTGTGTATGAAAACACATGCATAGAATATAACACCATCACTCGTCCACCATGCACTGACGCCTCTTCCACCCCTCCTCTTTTCCCTTTCCGCGTAGGTACGCACCCTTCGCTGTTCAGCTCCGGATTACACTAGATACTGCAACATCGTCTTGGCATTGGCACATCCCCCACATGCTGCTGCTTGATGGGGGGATGAATTGCACTGCATCGCAGAGCGGATAAGTGTGCTTTCCTCCTGCACGTCGACGGATGCGTGGACCCTTATAGGACAAAACAAGCATTTTACGTTTGAATACTTTTTTGCACATATGTAGGCGGTTTGGCCGGAATGGTCTCAGTGACTGCGAGGGCTTTCTGGAAGGGTTCATTCGCGGGTAGATCATGTCATATAGATTCACCCAAGAAACGAGAGCGGAAGAAGGAAATGTATTTCAAGATTTAAATGAATAGATGGTGAAAAACAACAGTAGAATGAAAAATGATAGGGAAAAGGCGAGAACAAAATACACAACACCTGGTTTTCACCACTGGTCACTGATCCAGTTACAACCTCAGCGATGGATACTGGCTTATCGATGGGAAGTCGAACGAAATATCGATTTATCGCCTAGGTCATATGTGGACAGTGTTGTTTTGAGTTTTCCTCAAAAACCAATCCGAATACCCCATGGTCGGGTCTCAGTTGGCACTGCACTTGTGGTGCTGGTGATAGGAAGGGGAATGAAGGATCATAGGAAAATGACAGAATGGGGTAAACGGGAATTAGATTCGACGTCTACCAAGTTCTCTGTTCTGGAAAAAAAAATCAAAAATATTAGAGACATATGGAAAACACGTTGACGTCGATGAGAAAACTGCTCAAAATCGATGTTGACGTTGGCCATCAAGGTTCTCTCTCAGCGACTCTCCAGCTTTGTGCCTTGTTTCGGGCTACCTACAGTACAAGTAAGCTGTGACTAGTTCATAATCTCATTAGAAATCTGAGTTGAAGCAGACAATGACTAATTATGAAACTTCTAGACTGTCCCTACCACATATAGAGATCTCAGTGAGCGTGCATAGCCCAGGTCCAATATAGTTGTGTTTCCGGACATACCAAGGAGCTCTAATGTATCAAGCATGCCATACTGGAAAAAAAAAAAAATAATTGACAAAAATGGGTTTGAAATCTGATACGTCACTCACTCTCTCACTCATTCTCGTATTTTTTCGTATCCTTCCTACCTGGCAGAATAGAATACACACCCACTTACCACACACCTTACCTTACCGCACATCACCACCATCCTTGCCCACATCCCGGAACAAGTACCCAGAACAGTTATCACATCTTACTACTACGGACACGCCGGGGAGAGTATGTTGCTTATTCAGGAAGTTGTTGTATGGAACCAGTAACTTGCGTGAATGGTATGGAAACAAAAAAAAAGGCTATATGATCTGCTCCAATCGGGGGAGGGATTATTCAATGCCCCCCCTTTTCCTCCTCTCTATTTCACTCTACAGTGGTATCTCTTGATTCTGTCTCTAAGTCTTAACTTTCTAGCTGGAAACATGGGTTGACCAGAAAGGAGCATCGCGGGTATTGTACAGTTCAAAGCGGTCGTGTAGATGTCCATCTTGCGCGAGTGTGCTTTTTTGTTTTGTAGTTCTTTGCGCCGCAAAAAAATGACGACTGCTTTTCTGTTAAGAAATGCTGTCGTGGCGGCGTTGATTTTCACGTCTTTCGTGAAAATCATTTGTGTCTTTCCTTCATACTTCTTGTGACGAGGTTACTTGTATGGTCAGGTCGTGTCGTGTGTTTGGAGT